CACACACACACACACACACACACACACACACACACACACACACACACAAACACACTCACACACTCACACACATATATTATAGACTCACACTCATTCGCCTTTTCATCTTTCTCTCTCTATCAATCTGTCTATCCATCTATTCCCCACTCTGTCTATCTAGCTACTCACTCTGTGTCCCTTGGGTCCGGGCATTCCTGGGATTCCGGGACGACCGCTCTCTCCCTGCAATACAGGAAGGTCAAAGTTCAGAGGTGAATGATCAGAAAATTGTCATTGTTCAAGTTCCACCAGAAACCAAATTAAATAAATGAAGGAATTAACTGAAGTGTCTTTCGGGGTGTTGATGCTTATTAAGCTTTAATTGTTTGAAAAAGTATTACAAAGATTTGTTGACCATTCAAATCGTAGAAAAAGAAAAGCTCATATCATTAAAATACCGTAGTAATGTCACTGAGAATGAAGAGCAATAACAGTTCTCAACGATAACGATAAATTGGTTTATTGTAGTCATGACAACAATATTTAAAAAAAGAAACTTTTACAACCAAAGATGAACGGACAAACATGCAAACAAACAAACAAACAAACAAACAAACAAGCACAAGGTTGGTCACTTACGGAAGGTCCTGGGGGTCCTTGGGGTCCAGCCTCTCCGGGGAGTCCCTCATCACCCTGGAGGAGGAAAGAAAAGGTCAAGGGTTAAAACATCATTGGGAAAGAAAAGGTCAAGGGTTAAAACATCATTGGGAAAGAAAAGGTCAAGGGTTAAAACATCACTGGGAAAGAAAAGGTCAAGGGTTAAAACATCACTGGGGTGTTTACTTTAGTTGTAGTCGTTTAAGTAAGAGTCTTGCGGCACTTGCAACCCAAATAGTTTATGTGAGTGCCGCAGATGAGTGTTTAGTCTTAGTGTGAGTTTTATCAGGCTTGCAACGTGAATAGGTCATTATAGTTATGAAGGAGCTGAAAAGGGGGTGGTGGCGAAAAGAGGTTGTGAAAGGAAGGAGATGGGGTGAGAAAGAGCGAGAAGGAGAGAAAAGGAGAAGG